CTCAACACTCGTCAGGGTCTTCCATCTGTAACTCTTAACACACACATATACATGATTGAGAATAACATGTCTTTTAAAATGTTACAGTTTTCTATTTTTTAAAATAGTCTTATGGCTAGCAAGAGGCCCAGCAAACAGGAACACTTGCTAGGCAAACTTGACAACCTGAGTTCATTCCCCGAAACCCACGTGAAAGGAAAAAAAAAAATCATCACACCCAGAAGTTACCTTCTGACCTCATACCCAAGGTATACGTCCCCACCACAATGTCCTCTGAAGGCCAGTTATCTGTACCTGGCTCCTGTTAAGAGGCAGCAGCTTTTTTGCTGTTCCAGAGTGTATTTTGATGGTTTTGCATTTGTTTATGTATTACTCACCCCAATTAAGATAGAACATCCTAGGATGTCCTCCCAAGTCCCTTCCTGGGGACTACCATCCTCATCTTCATTCTGTAAAATGGCATTCCTGCTACTTGGTTTGCCAATTTTGGACAGGAGTAGCTGCTCAAAATGATGGGCCAGATGTCACCCTGTTTCTCTAGGCAAAGCTGAGACTTTGTGTTTATAGTCCTGGTCACTTTCTCCCTCAGATTCCAAGCCTGACATCTAGGTGTGCCTGTCTGTGTCCACACGAGATCACAGATACAAGGGGTGTCCTGGTAGGGGAGATCCAAGCTGGGAGTTCTTGGCTTTGAAGCTGGGAGAAGCTGGCTTCTGAAATCAGGACATTGGGAGGCCAAAGCTCATCCTCCACCAGAGTTCTTAGCCAACAAAAGATGGCTGAAAGCAACACACACAAGGTGTTTGCTGAACAAGCTTACAAGTGAGAACAAGAGTCAGCCACACCTCTAACACCAGCACTCAGGAGACAGAGACAAAGGGAATCTGTGAGTTCTAGGCCAATATGGTCTATAGAGTGAGTCCCCAGACAGTTCACAGAGAAACCCAGTGTCCGAAAAAAGAAAAGTCACGAGAAGCCTGTTTTAGTGGTGCAGACCTTTAATCCCAGCTATCAGGAGGCAGGTGGATCTCTGTGAGTTCTCTATCTCTCTCACACACACACACTCACACACACTCTCACACACACACACACACACACACACACACACACACGGCACTTTACAGGACAACCTGCCCTTCCCTGAGGCATCCAGGTCTCTGTGAGTTCACACACACACACACACACACACACACACACACACACACACACACACACACACACGGCACTTTATAGCACAACCTGCCCTTCCCTGAGGCATCCAGATCTCTGAGTACACACACACACACACATACACACACACACACACACACACACACACACACACACACACACGGCACTTTACAGGACAACCTGCCCTTCTTCCCTGAGGCATCCAGATTCCTTGAGCATTTATGAGCCCTTCACCTGTCTTGTCTGTCAAAACAGAACTGTTGCTGTGGAGCATCTTGCTTCCTTCTTTGTTAAAGCATTCCAGCAGAGCATGAGTTTTCTCCTGGACTCCTTGCTGATGAATGTTCCACAGGGGAAGACACAAAGCACCAGACGTGTTGAAGGCAGTGCTAGCTGGGCAGGAGCATGGGGGCTGACCGACTAGCTATGTGGCCACATAGTGGGGCCAGACTAAGTAACAGCCCCACAACTAAGAACTTTTCCTGAGGCTTCTACCGGTCCAGCACACCTGTGAACTGATGGGTTGAATGCAGTTTCTCAGATATCAAGGTTTAAGGAAGCCAAAAGCTATTCAGGGAATCAATGATTTGAATTCGGTTCAGACTGACTTTGAGACTACAACTCTTTTTTTTTTTTTCAAGTTTATTTAATGGCAGATTATATGATCAAGATGCTTAAAGGGGTTGGACAGTGGTAGCAGAAGCAGGAGTATCTCTGAATTCGAGGCCAGCCTGGTCTACAGAGCTAGTTTTGTCTAGTTCATAAAGAAACCCTATCTGGCAGTCATCATTCTCATTATCGGGGAAGGGCATTTAAGGGAAGGGCCTCTTCAGTATTGCTTAGATTCCTAGTTGGGGTCATCCTTGTGGCTCTCTGTACATTTCTCTTTAAACCTATAATGGCTCCCTCTATTGATGTGTCTCTTTCTTGATGACTACCTTATATGCCATCCTAAACCCTTCATCTAGTAGCTGATGGAAACAGAAGCAGACACCCATAGCTAAACACTGAGCCAAACTCCTAGAATCCAGTTTCAGAGAGGGAGGAGTGATGAGCAAAGGGGTCAAGACCATGCTGGGAAAACCCACAGAAACTGCTGACCTGAGCAAGCGGGAACTCATGGACCCCAGTCTGACTGCTGGGGAACCAGCATAGGACCAAACTAAGGAACGTGGTTGTTAGTTAGGAGGACTGGGCAGTCTGAGGGGCCTCTGACAAGGGAACCAGGATGTATTGTATCCCTGGTGTACAAACTTCAGGAGCACATTCCCCATGGAGGGATACTCCCTTAGCCTAGACACTTGGGGGAGGACCTAGTCCCTGCCACAAATGACTTGACAGATTTTGGTGATCCTTCTTGGAAGGTCTCACCCTCCCTGGGGAGTGGATGGTAGAGCGGGGTGGGTCAGTGGAAGGATGGGAAAAATTAAAGTCTTCAAAAATCTATACATAAAAATACTACACACACACACACACAAAACCCTATCTGGGGCGGGGTGGAATGCCTGAAAGGAGTTTGTACCCAACGACATTCAGCAATTGTACATACCTAGCAAACTTGACAGATTTATCCCACAGTTGAAAGGCCTGCCTTCTCTGGTTTCTGACAGAATCATTTTCGTTCTCAAACTAGTTCTGTCTCTGGAATATCACAAGCGGAATTACCAACAGGCACTTTCAAGTCTGGCTGCCTCCTGGAGGTTCATCTGTGTTGTGTGTATCAATAGCTATTTACAGGATGGAGAGAAAACCCAGTGCTTACCATACAAATGTAAAGATCGAAGTTTAAATCCCTAGAACTTCTACCAAGCCTGGTGTGGCTCCTACAGTTTGACAGCCAGCTAACTCGCCATATGCAGCAGCAGTGGACAGCGGATCTCCACGTCAAACGAGGGAGGTGAAGACTGACACCCACCCCACTGTCGAACCTACACATACACACCATGTCACACCCCCACTTACTCATCTGTGCACACACATACAAAAAAATGTGCTTTTCAAAAAAGGTGTGGCTAGATAATCCCCACACTCCGGAGGCAGAGGCAGCTGGCTCTCCATGAGTTCAAGGCCAGCCTAGTCTATGTAGTGATTTTTCAGGACAGCCAGGAACACACACATCTCCAGGGTCTGCTCTCATAGCCTCTTCTCTGCTGCCCTGTAAATCCTTATCCTCTTTGAGTCAACGTTAGAATGCAGGAGTAACACAAGCCTGGAAGATTCCTGCTGTTTGCCGTACTGTTTGCTCGTTGTTTGACTCGGAGATCCGCTGTTCACTGCTGCATACGCCTGTTAAGGACACTCCCTCCCATCGTCACATCTCAGTGTGGTTGGTGTGGAAGTTTCCTCTTTGGCTGCAGTGTGGCTTCACTCCTGGCCACGGTTCAGCGATCCAGAGGTTGCGCATGAGCCTGCCCAAGATGGGCAGAGACCTTTCTGGGGACCGGCAGCTTCAGCTTGGCTTGGCTAGCTCTTGACAAGGACAAGTTATTGAAGCACTTCTGCTTGGGTATTTATAACTGGTTTTTCCTGTTTACTAAAGGTAGGAGTCCACCCGACCTAGTATAGAACACTGGGGCTGTTAACGAAGGATGGATAGTTTTCCTGGATGAAATTGCCTAGTGTTGCTGTTTGGAGTGTCCTTGAACACTACCTTAACAGATTCATGTGCATAGTGGAGAAATGCCTTTACAACTCTAAGGCAAGCCTCTCTCCAAAGCATAGGTTGTCAGCTATGGTCAGGGACTAAAGGGTTTTTAAGACCCAAGAAGCGGGAACGGACACTGGGCGGTAAGTGCTTCGACCCACTGAGTAATCTTGCTTCTTAGAGACACCAGTCATAACACACTGGCCACACAAATGGCCTCAATTTTACCTGACTGTGCACAAACAAGCCATGTCCAAAAATGTCACATTGCAGATCCTGGGAATTAGGCCTTCCACAGTTGGGGAAGGGACCGTCGAGAGGCACAAACTTGATTGTAGTGCTGCTGGCTTCATAACAGGCTGCTCATCCCACAGTGAAGACTAAAGAGCCATGATAGTGGCCTGCAAGGACATGGACTCCCTGGATTTTCCTCTTGCTCCGGACTTTCCCATGGCTCCAGCTGCCTAAGTGGATGCTGGCTTGTTGGACAGAGGGACATACAAGTAGACTTCTAGTGAGGGACGCCAGGATAATGCAACTGTCTGCTTCTCTAAATACACACATGAGCAACAAGGACAGGAAGCTGAAACAATTCATTCCTCCTCTCCCGTTGTTTTTTTGAGACGGAGTTTCTCTGTGTAACAGCCATGGTTGTCCTGTAACTCACTTTGTAGACCAGGCTGTCTTCGAACTCAGATCTGCCTGCCTCTGCCTCCCGGGTACTGGGATTAAAGGTGTGCGCCACCACCTAGCAGCAATTCATTCTTAAAAAGAACAAATTCAGTATGACACACCTCAAACTTCTCCAGAGAAACTTCAGGGAGGGGCACCTAGTGACAGGGACATTTAGCGGCTCATGGAATACTAGGGAGCTGGTGGGGCTCAGGCCTTCAGAGTCAGTGTCAGAGAGCAAGGCATGACAGGCTGTTCCAGGGGCACGGCCTCTACCTGTGACGGTGTTTAGTATATGAGCTGCTTTTCTCATGGCTGCAGTGGAATACTGACAAAAACATCTTAAAAAGTGGGAGGCCTCGGCTTACATCACAGCGTAGTCAGGAAGCAGGGAGGCAGCTTCGGCTCAACTCACTCCTCTTTATTCACAACAAGACCCCAGCCCATGGAACATCGCAGTCGAACTCAGAATGGGTCTTCCCCTCACCAGCCAGCCCGGGGGGGGGGGGGGGCTCCCTTCCTCCCTCTCAACTTTAAAGTCCTAACTTTAAAAGGGTTGAATGGCAAACCTGTGTGGGTGAAGCAATGGCTTTGGACATCAGAGAAATTACAGGCACTAGATCAGCTAAAGGCTCAACATACGCAAGAATCCACCCGTCTTTGTAATTTTCCTATTTGTCATTAAAAAGAAATCTGGAAAATTGAGAATGTTAATCGATTGAAGAGCTATAAATAAGGCGATTCAGCCCTTCCCTTCCTAGGCATCTTCTCTATTCAAATTGCTGGTTTCTCTACGGCCAATTCTAGTCACCTAGTCAGTGGCTGATGCCCCAATTCAAGTAAACTTTCAGTTAACAGTCCGGAGTGTCACAGTGCCATCAAATTCCTGAAACATCTGATGATGGGCATGGAGCAGCAGAATTTAAGATTTGCTCAGGTGGAGCTCAGTCTTGAGCACTGGTCTAATCTTGCCTAGTTTCCTATTCTGCCCTCTTGGAATGAGAATTGTATTCTGTTACTTCATATTAGAAGTCTACCATTTGTGTTTAAAGCTAGAATTTAAAAAAAAAGTTCTTTTTATTTATGTGCATTGGTGTTTGCCTGCAAGTGTGACTGTATGAGCATGTCATGTACCCTAGAACTACAGTTACAGACATGCCATGCAGGTGGTGAGAATTGAACCCAGGTCCCCAGGAAGAAAACCCAGTGCTCTTAACTGTGGAATCTCTCCAGCCCCCTAAGGCTAATATCTTTGCTTGGGATCTCAAGAGTCTGGACTTTTGAATAATGTTAGAACTGTTAAGACTATGGAAACTCTTGAAACTGGGACTGGATGGATTTTGCATTAGTTGGCCGTAGGCTGGGTGTGGTGGCGTACAATCTCTGTACTTGGGGAGGGTTGTCTAAGAACTTGAGGTCACCCTGGACCACCAGTTAAGTTCCAGGCCAACCAGGGTTGCACAGAGATCCTGTCTCAAAAAACCGAGACAAGACAGTCATGAGTCTCCTGGGGACATTACAGGAATACTCTGGTTTGAATCTGACATGATCCCTACCAGCCTGTCTCTAGCTGCTTGTGCTGGATTTGGGGACTGTAGGAGCTTTAGACAGTAGAGCCTGGTTTGTCAAGGCATGTCAACAGTGACAGGCCTGACTCAGGCTTGCCCTCTGCTTCTGGTCCCCAATAACGTGAATTTTCTGGCACATGCTCCTGCTCCCGAGGACTGGGCAAGCTCCACCAGGTGGGAGCGACCCTCTGAAAGCATGAACCTGGTAACTCCTGCCTCCTGAAGTCAAGCAGCGAACACAGCTCCAGACAGGTCTACCACAGGACACTAAGTCACTTGGCCCTCTTGGCACAGACCCAGGGTCTGAGAGAGCTGCAGTCCCGAGCCACCAGCCTGCCTCCTTCCAAACCGCCACAGCCGAAGTCTGGGTGGTCCTCACTGTCCTCTGGGAACCTGGGGTGAGGTAGGCGAACAGAGAGAAGACACTCAGGCTGCTGGGCCTCCGCCCCCATGCTGGCCCCATACTGCACCAGGGCTAGAAATATCTGCAAAGAACCCTGGCAATGTCTCCCACTGGCCAGCTACATGGGAAAACCACCAAATTCCTATGCCACAGATCTCGTATCTGAAAAGCAGACATGACAGTTCTGCCTGAGTGAATGTGTTGGGGACCCACACCAGGGTTGGAGTGACAAGGATAAGGCAAAACTAGCCCCACTTGGCTGGGTTTGGAATGAGTCTCCTATTGGTACTGAAGGCTGGGTGGGGCAGAGGAGGCTGTAACACAGTAGAGCGGGAGGGAACCCAGGTACTCACAGTTGGGATGGCAAGGGGACCCCATCAGTCCAGTGCCAGCCTTCAGCGCCTCGTTGGGCCCCCACCCAGGACTCTTTGGTGATGTGGTATTTTCTTAGGAAGTCCTGGGGAAGAAAAGCAAGCAGCCATTCTTCATATATCACGGCTTATATCCATTTCCCCTGAGGCTTCTACAGGCTTCCAGCATGTACTGAAGGCCAGCTGGGACATCCAGCCTTGTGAACTAAACTACGGGATTCCTGGACCTTCCTTTGGAAGACAGCCATTGTTGGAGTAGCTGGACCACAGTCTGTAAGCTACTCTAATAAGTCCCCTTTATATATACTGTGTGTGTGTGTGTGTGTGTGTGTGTAATTCATTCTATGAGTTCTGTTACTCAAGAGAACCCTAATACGGGCCTATAAGAAAGCAGGCTGAAGTGCTGGAGAGACAGCTCCATGGTTAAGATCACTGTCTGCTCCCCCAGAGGACCTGGGTTCAATTCCCAGCACCCACGTGGCAGCTCACAGCTGTATGTAACTCCAGTTCCAGAGGACCTGACACCCTCACACAGACATGCGTGAAGAGGCACATGAAAATAAATTATAAAACAAAAAAAGAGCCGCCATAGTGAACCCTTTGCTGGGACAATGGAGAATAGTCAACAAGGGCTGTGACTAAGAGAGGACACCAGTGTCACTGAGGTGGCATCTGGGAAGTATTTCCTCAGGGTCAGCACGCGCAGGCTGCGCTCCAGAGGGGATAAGTCTTCGTCTTGTTCTGGCAACCAGATTTAGTAATGTGTAAGAATCTCCCAGGTGGTGCTGGTTTTGAGGGCATGAAGAGGTCACGGAGAGCAGCTGAGGCTTGGCATCACGTGGTGGGAGAGGGCCATCGGTGAGTGTGCAGCCTCAGCTAAAGTAGAAGCCAGGGGACTGGAGGGGCCAGGCGGAGAAGCTGAGGCTTGACACACGGGGCAGGGTCAGAGTCCCTGTAAAAATCCCAGGAGAGGCGGCCTGAGGCTCTAGCCCAGTTGCAGGGGAGCCCCCAACATTTTGGGGGTGCAGCCGCGGAGCAGAGCTGGCCTAAGCCTGGGAGACAAGATGTGTATGGTCAACGGCACAGCCAGAGCAGTGCGAATGTCCAAGTCCTCTGGAGCCCGGACTGTGAGTGAGTCCTAGATGTTGAACTCTGACTTGTTTACACTGTGGGGATTGGGTTTTGCTTTGTTCAAATTGTGACTGCCCCTGATTCTTCCTTTTTGGTATAAGAAGGTATTTAACTTATTTCTAGTTTTATGGGTTCCTAAAGTTGGGAGACTGAACTTTGAAAGAGAGGAGACGAATTTATAACTGTTGGATGTTTTGTGTTGTGATATTTATATCGATATGAGCTGTAGGGGTTAACAAGAAAAGAAAGGTTATGAATTAATAAGTGGTACGTGTGTGTGTGTGTGTGTGTGTGTGTGTGTGTGTGTGTGTGTGTGTGTGTCAAGCTGACAAGGAGTCAGTGGACACAAACCTAGGCATATCTAGGAACAGGGTATCTTTTGATTTTGATTATTTTTGTTGTTGTTGGTTTTGTTTTTAAGACAAGGTCTTGTTATATGTAACCCTGGCTGGCCTGAAACTTACTATGTAGACCATGCTGGCTTTGAATATACAGAGATCTACTGACCTCTGCCTCCAGTTTTGGGATTAAAATTGTGCAAAAATCACGTTTAGAGGAAATGGGAATCTTAACTGAGAAAATGTCTTTATAACCCTGGTGAGTAGGCAAGTCTATGGGGCGTTCTCTTGATTAATGATTGCTATGCCCAGCCCCTGTGGGTGGTTCTACCCTGGGCAGATGGCCCTGGATAGCACAAAGGTAAGCTGAGCAAGCCAGGAAGCAACAATCCTCTGTGGCTTCTGCGTCAGCTCCTGTCCCCAGGTTCCTGCCCTGACTTCCCTGGATGATGTACAAGCAAACCCTTTCTTTCCTCCCCAAGTGGCCTTTGGCCATGGTGTTTTATCACAGCAATAGACACCTTAACACACACACACACACACACACACACACACACACACACACACACACACACTCACACACACACACTCACACACACACTCACACACACACACACACACTCACACACACACACTCTCACACACAGACACACTCACACACACTCACACACACACACACACACACACACAGACACACGGTTGGAGAGATGACTGGCTCAGCACTTGCTTTCTCAGAGGACCTGAATTTGGTTCCCAGGACCCCTGTCAGGTGACTCACAACCAACTGTAACTCCAGCTCCAGGGGATCTGACCTTCGTCTCCATGTGCACCTGTACTCATATGCAGAAATACTCACTTGCACATGAATAAAAATCAATTATTGTAAGCTGAGTGTGGTGGTGAATGCCTTGAATGTTAAGCACCCAGGAGGCAGAGGGAGGTGCATCTGAAGCCCTGCTCTACACAGAGTTTTAGGCCAGCCAGGACTACATAGTGAGACTGTTTTAAAAAAAACAAAAACAAAAACAAACAAACAAAAAATAAAATAGGGCAGAAAAAGAAAGAAAAGGAAAGAAATGCTTATGGTGCTCATGGCACTAAATAATGTCTAAGATCCTTTGTTCCCAGCCCTTAGAGCCAATACCTGACACTAATACCACTAAACATGCTGTATTGTCTACACCACATCCTGGGAGGACTCATGGGTCTCCCCCAGCAGGCCTGGTCCACTGTTAACTGTCTGAGTAACCCAGGTGGGATGGGACCATCCAAGCTTTGCCTTCTTCTTGGCATGAAACCCTTGGACACCTGATATCTGGTCCCTGTGCATGCCACTTTATTCCTTTGGGGCCTTGGTGACCCTCACAGCATGAAGGACTTGATCTAGAGGTTCCTTCCAGGACGAAGACAGGGATCTGGGATGACACACCCTCTTCCTAGCCAGCCTTTCTCACCTGGGTGTGGTTCAGCAGGGGCAGTGTAGCCTGGTGGGCTGAGCAGAATGCCTGGCTGCCCTCCCAGTCTTGGGCATCTTCAGAGAGGTAGTAACAGTGTTCCTGAGACCACAGCCAACCTTGAGGGCATGGCTGGCAACTGGCTCCTGGAAGCAAAGATCTGTGGGTCAAAGGGAGATCCTAAGAGCTATGCATGAATACACTGAGCAAACAAAACCTGGCCATGACCTTGGCTGATCTACAGGTAGGGAGCTGGCAAGCGTCCAGGTGGGACAGACGTGGACGGAAAGCCCTGGGAAGGCTATCCAGCTTGCACCGTGCAAAGTTTCCCTGGAGAGGGGCTGGTATGCTCATTACCAGCCAGGTCACAAGCTGCCACTGGGGGGGGGGGGGGCTAGGGTCAAGCTTCCTTGTCTTAGGCCTGCGTCTTCACACAGCACCTTTGAGCTCACTCTGGTCTCAAAGGTGCTACAAGTATACAACAGCGACGGGAATCCATACCGCCTCTAGAGGCCAGGGCCACAATGACTACAGTGCAGACAGCCAGGAACACAGCCATGACCACCAGGGCCCAGCGAAGGGACTTTATGTACAGGGGCAGCCCTGGAGAGAAAACAAAGACAAGTCGTGAGAAGTCATCCCAGCACCATCCAACCTAGAACCACACTGGACGCACGCGCGCGTGCACACACACATGCACACACTCACTCACACACACTCTCTCACGCACACACACACGCACGCACTCACCCCCCCCCCCCCCCCCCCCCCCCCCCCCCCCCCCCCCCCCCCCCCCCCCCCCCCCCCCCCCCCCCCCCCCGCCTCACACACGCACTCACGCATGCACACACTCACTCTTACACACTCTCACACACTCACACACACACTCACACACACACGCACGCACTCATACACACACACTCTCACACACACACGCACTCACTCACGCACGCACTCACACACACGCACTCACACACTCTTACACACACACACGCACTCACTCACACACACGCACTCACGCATGCACGCACTCACACACACGCACTCACGCATGCACGCACTCACACACGCACTCACACAATGCACTCACGCATGCATGCACACACTCACACACGCACGCACTCTCACACACTCCACCCCCCCCCCACCCCCCCCCCCCCCCCCCCCCCCCCCCCCCCCCCCCCCCCCCCCCCCCCCCCCCCCCCCCCCCCCCCCCCCGCCCCACACACTCACTCTTACACACTCTCACACACACACAGGCATGCACTCACGCACTCACACACACACACACTCTCTCACACACACACACTCACACCATGATCACCTTGACTCAAGACACCCAGCACGCAGGTTAGATCAGAACTTCATTTAGGAGTCATGCTAGAATATGCGCTGAAGACACAGGCTCTGTGAAACAGAGCAAGCGATGTCCGTCCACACTGTGCTGTGCCACACGGCAGTGTAGTATTATAGATGGACAGCAGGTGACAGAATCCACGACACCATGGGCAACACGTCACAGCAGGAAGAGCACGGGCTAGACTGAGCTCTGCAGGGTCCAGGTCAAGTCTACATGCTTTTCATCGACTCTCAGCTGCCTCGCCAGTGTCCCTGGGGCCATGAGTGAAGACCCGGGCAGTCTGTTCCCACCGCGGGTAGTCAGCAGCTATGGGTCTTGTCTGGCTGAAAGTTCAAGGACACCAGGTAGTTGGGAGGCCACAGGCAGGGAATGCGTAGAGGAACAGGAGACAGGACACACCCATCTGTTTCCCGTTTTCCTATCCTTGTGGGTTGTGTTTTGTTTGAAACAGGATCGCTCCGTTAGTGGTTCTAACCTCCCTAATGCTGCGACCCTTTAAGACAGTTCCTCCTCACGCTGTGGTGACCCCCAACCATAAAGTCTGTAACTGTGATTTTGCTACTGTTATGAATCAACATAAATACCTGTGGTCTTAGCGTGAAAAGGCCGTTTACCCCCAAAGGGGTTGTGACCCATAGATTGAGAACCATTGCTCTGTATAGTCCTGCCTGTCATGGAACTCATCATGTAGACCAGGCTGGCCTTGAACTCAGAGAGCAGCCTGTCTCTGCCTCCCAAGTGCTGGGATTATAGCCTGCACCATCTCGTCCAGCTATCCTGTTTTGACATAGGGTCTCACTTTGTTTCCCAAGCTCATGTGATCCTCCCACCTCAGCCTCTGGAGAAGCTGGGGGTCACAGGCTGTGACCACGGCTGGCAGATGGCCCCACAGGTGGAGGTACTCATCCCCAAGCCTGATGTCTGACCTCTGGAACCCACATGGTAGAAGGAAAAACTCGACTCTCACAAGTTGTCTCCTGACCTTCACACACATGCTGTGCTACACACACACACACACACACACACACACACACACACACACACGTCACCTACCACTAAGAAATAAAAATAACAGTACTTTTAAAGGAGTCCACATCACGCCTGGCCCAAGGCATATCTTTAAGTGCTGTGAGTCCCCCTGATAGTGACTACTGAGGTATCTTAGTTACCTTTCCCATGGTGGCTGTGATAAAATGCCCTGACAAAAGCCAGTTAGGGGAGAGGGGGATTGTTCTGGCTCACGGTTCCCGTGTACAATCCATGGGGGGTGGGCAGGGAGAGCCTGGCCCACTTGGTCACATGACTTCCACAACAGGGAGACAGTGAGGGGCATAGGGAATGGTTCTGCTCATAATTAAGACAGAATTTCCCACGTCCGTTAACACAATCAAGTTATCCCACAAGCTGCCAGGAGACCCATCTCCCTGCCTGAGTCTAGGTTCTGTCAAGCTGAAAAGCCCACTAGCTGTCAGCCTGGAAAGCCCGAGTGGCAGATGGAGAGGTCACGAAAAGAAGCATCAGTGATGTCATACTTCAGCAGAGGTGACTGTGCTCGGCCTCTGCAGCCCTGACCCTGAGGCTCTCTGCAGCCAGCTCTCTCTGGACACAGAAGCTTACAGAGTTACAGCAAAGAGGAATGCCCTTCCTAGAACCTCGGGATCATTCGCTGCTCAGGGATGAGGGGCAGCAGTGAGTGTGTAATCGTGCCAGGGAGGGTGAGGGCGGTAAGAGAGTAGTTACCGTATTTCCTCAAACCGCAAGAAAAACAAAAGAGTGTTTTGATCAGGATTTTACTTCATGAATAATTGTGCCTGGCCCGGTGGAGACATCTTTAATCCCAGGTCTCAGGAAGCAGAGGCAGGCGGATCTCCGAGCTCAAGAACAGTTAGGGCTATGTAGAACTGTCTCAAAAAAAAAAAAAAAAAAAAAAAAAAAAAAACAAAAAAAAACCAAATAATTGACTTAGAAAAATAACGTGTATACAAGTACATTACATGCTCATATACGAATGCTAAGTGTCTACACAGAGGGATGGATGAGCGTTGCAAGGTTTTAATAGAACACATTCACCGTTTCTCAGCTTCAGTCTCAGGGACTTTCCAAACTCTTTTTCTTTTTTTTTTTCATTTGCATTGGAGAAAACATTTGCCCCAGTGATAGAAGTATGTCAGAGATGCACGAAGCTGGGTGCGGTGGCGCACACCTTTAGTCCCAGCGCTGGGGAGGCAGAGGCAGATGGATCTCCGTGAGTTCAAGGCCAGCCTGGTCTAGAGGGTGAGTTCCAGGACTGGGGGGGGGTGGCAGAGAAAAGTAGGGTGGGGAAAAGGGAGAGAAGGAGAGAGGGAGAGGGGAGAGAGAGAGGGGGAGAGGGAGAGGGGAGAGGGAGAGGGAGAGAGGGGAGAGAGAGGGAGAGAGAGAGGGAGAGAGAGAGGGGAGAGAGAGAGGGGGAGAGGGAGAGGGGAGAGGGGAGAGAGAAGGGGAGAGAGGGGGAGAGGGAGAGGGGAGAGGGGAGAGAGAGGGGAGAGGGAAGAGAGAGAAGGAGAGAGGGGAGAGAGAGGGAAGGGGAGAGAGAGAGGGAAGAGAGAGAGGGGAGAGAGGGAGAGAGAGAGGGAGAGAGAAAATTAAGCCAAAGAAGTCAGACAGCCACGTTTGTGGTCCCAGCATTTAGGATGCTGAGGCAGGGGCATTAAGAGTTTCAGGCCAGGAACTGGAGAGAAGGCTCAAGGGTTAAGAACACTGGCTGTATTCACAGAGGGTCTTCAATTCCCAGCACACACTTGGCAGCTCACAAGTACAGTCTCAAAAGGGCACACGCCCTCCTCTGGGCCACACCCACATGGCAGATGCTCATACACAGAAAAGTAAATTAATTGAGTGAGGTATCCCAGACCCAGAAAGGCAAATATAGTGTGTACTCACTCATAAGTGGATACCAGAAATAAAGCAAAGATACCCAGCCTACAATCCACAACCCCAAAGAAGCTAGAACCCTCTTCCAGAAACAGATGGAAGCAGATGCAGAAATCTACAACTGACCAATGGGCCAAGCTCCTGGAGTACAATCAACGTGAGGGAGGAGGGATAATATGAACAAAGGAGTCCAGACCATGATGGGGAAACCCACAGAGACAGCTGACCCGAGCCAGTGAGAGATCCGTATGGAGATCCCTTGCTCAGCCTAGACACAGGGGTGTGGGGTGGGGAGGCGCCTTGGTCCTGCCTCAACGAGATGATGGGACAGACCTAGCTGACTTCCTAGGGGCCTTACCCTCGCTGAGGAGCAGATAGGAGTTGTGTGTGAGAGAGTGGGGAGCACAAGGGAGGAGACTGGGGTTGGAATGTAAAACATAATACATTTTTAATTTTTTTAAACAGTAAGTTAATTAGAAAAAGGAGTTTCCGGTCAGCCTGAACTACATGGCAAAACCCTGTCAACAAACAAAACAGGGAGAAGCCAGAGCAAAGAGCTCATGCTACGTGAGATGGGAGGGAAGTGCAGACGAGTGTGCAGAGACAGGGGCTGGGGGGGGGGCACTTGCTTTCAGCATGAAAAAATAATTACAAAAACGCTGAATATGCAAAACCCCTTGAGCGGTGCACTGTACATATGTGAACTGCATCTCAATACACCTGGTACCAAAAGGAAGGGAAGCTTGATGAAGTTTGGTCAGCCAGAGCTACATGGCCAGGCCTTAAGAACACACATGCACACGTGTGCGTGCGCGCGCTGTGGGATTGCTCAGGGGTTAAGTAGATCACTGGCTGCTCTTCCAGAGTTCAATTCCCAGCACCCACATGGCAGCCCACAACTTCCCGTACTCCCAATTCCAAGGGATCAGGCTCCCTCTTCTGGTCTCTGCAGGTAACCAGGCACATACATGATCCACAGACATAAATGCAGGCCAAACGCTCATACACAGTTTAAAAACAAACCACCACCACCAACAACAACAAAGCAGTATGTGTAAACTGAGTGAGAGTTGTGACTTTTCCCCCCACAGGGATTGAACCAGGGTCTTGTTCAGGCTAGACAAATGCTTTACCACTGATCAATGCCCCAGCCCTAAATCAAGGTTCACAAGTTAAAGCAGAACTGGAAAGCTCGGCCAAGACAAGGAAGATAGACTCATCAGTCACTGTAATTCCTGTGGCTGAATCTTCCTTTAGCTCTGACCTTCAGAGAGCCAAGCATGAAAGAAACGCAGTGGGTGAGTGAGTGAGTTCTCTCAAACCAGGTAGGGGCCCCTCCTAGTTCAGGGCACTGAGCTTGGCAAGGCCCCTGGAGGGCTACAGTGGAAGTACCCACACCACTTCCTGTTTTAGGTTTTGAAAATAGGGTTTCTACAGCCCAGCTGGCCTGGAGGTTTCTGGTCCAGGCTAGCTTCAAACTGGCATGTTGGGATTACGGGCTTCAACATACATGCCACTTTTTTTTTTTTCTTTAAGATGGGGGTCTCAACATGTAGCCCAGGGTAGACAAAACTCTCTCTGCTGCTTCAGCCTCCTGGGTGCTGGGTTGCAGGCCCGAGACACCTTGCCAGGCTGACATAACAACTCTTGGTCACACAAGTTACACAAATACACTCTATACACACTCAGCTTGCAAAACCACGGACACATCTGGGCCTCCTTAACACATCCTCTCCCTGTCCCCAGCCCTGCAGTTACTGCTAAAGGACATGATGGCTCCCAAAGAACAAGAGGGCTTATGCCAGGAGGCTCAGCACGTTCACCTCCTTCTGGCCAGAGCCCTGCTTCCTCTCCATGACATCTGTGTCTTCCTCTGCACTGAGCTCCAAGAGCATTCTTGCTTCAAAATCCTAACACTCCCCAGAGACCCATCAAACCCGGACCATCTTTGGAAGTCTAACCCTGTCTGACTTTCTCCAAAGAGTCCTCAGCTCCAGCCGCATTGCCAACAGCCTGGACAATATGGAGGACAGGTGACCACCGGGCAGGGCCAGGGACTCCTGGAGGCCAGCGGCCAGCGGCCAGGTGGGGTGATGTGCCAACTGCACCGAGATCAAACACTGCCTTTTCCCTAGAGGGATCCAGGAGATAATAAGTTCTGACTTGTACACAGGCAGGCTGGCAGAGAGGCCACTAATGTGCCAGGTGTTGGAGATGCGGGCAAGTCCCAGCCTCTACCTTCAATTCCACCCAGGGAAGCAATCGTTACCTGGGGTTAATGAAGTACAATCCAAACAGAGTGTGAGATACAGCCACCCCTAGGCTGCCTTGGGGAGAAGGGAAGTTAAGTCCAAGCCAAGAGCTGAGGGAGAGGCATTCACCACACAAGGCTACAGCCCTTCCCCTTTCTCGGCTTTACAAACTCCACTCCCTTCTTCAGCTGCCTCAACAGTTGGTAGAGCACTTGCCTATTGTGCCCGGAGCCCCAGGATCGATCCCCAGCATCACATAAACCGGGTGTGGTGTTACATCGCTGCAATCCTGGGTCACTCCAGCTATATAGTGAGTCTGAGGGCAGCCTGCTAGACAGCTCCTTCAGGGTACCTGCCCAAACAAACAGGGACAGACCAAGCAGCAACATCCCCAGCCCTCTCTACCGTGGCTCGCTTCCTCCCAACTTCTCAAAGGACCCGGAAGCAGATGGCCTGCGGTCCAGCAAGTCAGTCTTGGCTTATTATACTACCTCTCTTGTTGAGATGATCTGATCGAGCACTCAACAGAGTTCCTCATCCAAGCAGGGTCCTGAAGACCAAGGCACCTCCTTCTTTATTTCTCCACCCCTTGCCATGTTTTCCTTTGTGGAAGAGGTCGGTCAATCTGCCATCCAGTTACTCAGAACCCTGGGAGAGACCTCCGCCCTCAGCTCAGCTGTATCCAACCCGTGGCCCTGCCCACTGACTGTGCCTCCCGAGCCCATCTTCTACCTAAATCCATCTCTTCCCTGCCTCAGTCTTCCCCCAGGAGGAGGAACTCTATTAGTCCAACAATGCCACACTTCAGCACTGCTTTTTCTTTAGCCGCAGTTCTTAAAGAATCTGATAAAGGAGCTGGAGAGATGGCTGTGGTTAAAGAGCACCGGCTGCCCGTGCCGAGACCTGAGTTGGGTTCCCAGCACCCACAAGGTAGGACTTACAACTTCCGGGGGTCTGATATTCTCCTCTGGCTTCTGTAGGCACCACGAACATAAGACATACATGCAGACAGTCATACATACACATAAAAGTTAAAAATAGACATGAAAGACTTTTGTAAAAAGCTATAGGCTGGCACACCATCGCCCCGAAGATGTCCGCAGACCTCTAGATCCCTAGAACCAGTGAACACACTAGACCATGGGGCAAAGAGGAATTAAGGTTCAGATGGTGGTGAGGGTGTTGACCCAGAAACAGAGGCTGTCCTGGTCCCAGGGTTATCATGAGGGTCCTAACCCACGAGGAGGGAGGCAAAGCAGGATTGCAGAGTCCAGCCTAACATCACTGGGGTTGACAGCAGAGGCTCTGCCCCCCCCCCCCCCAAGCCTAATTGAGAAGGGCACAGTCCTGCCACAACCCTGCTGACACCACCACCGTCGTCTAGGGAGCCCAGGCCAGACCCCCAATGCTCACAAGATGCTCCGCCTCCAGGTTCCGGCCCTCACTTCCCCCGATGGACCCGTAAGCCAAATAATCCTTTCCTCCCCAGGTTGGTTTTGGTAAGAGAAGTCAAACTAACACACGGCTTTCTGCAGTGCTGGACTCGCCTCCCCTTCACAAGCAAACATAGCATCCTCGCACCCCGGCCAACTGGCACCACCGGGCCAGCTTAGTTACGTGCAGATGGATGACCCTCCCCTAGGCGGAGAGAAGGAGCCTGGTCCTAGGAGGTGCGCCCGGGCCACCACTGTCACGTGCTTCTGAATCACTTCCCCCTCCCCCGAAGTTCCTTCCATTTGTACTTCTCCAAGACGCAGCGCACACGGAGAAGGAATGAGAAAGTTCCCTGGGGGAGGGGCAGGGCCCTGCTTTGGTTATTAATCCTGGCACGGAGAAGCCGGATGGGCTCCTGGTTAGGCCAGTTCAGAGACGGGGCCCTGGCGCCGCTGAATACTCACCGATGAGCGTGACGGCCCGGGGCAGTTTCTTGCTGTCCATGCCCGCGCGCTGCAGCAGCCCGGCGTCCTCTCTGTCCGGGCCGGGCCCCTGGCAGCGGCAGCGGCAGGTGGGCGAGCCCGGGGAAACCGCGCTGCCCCGCTCGGTCGGGGTCGCGGCCAGCGGCGATCCACGGCCCCACGTGGAGCCCGGGGACGGGGCGCGCGGCAGGCGCGGGAGCGTGGGCGCGGCGCGGCGGGCGAAGGCGGGCGACTCGGGCACCGGCACGGTGAGAAAGCGCGTGGACGGCGCGGGCGAGGGCGAGCGGCTGGCACCCGCCGCGCCCACGGGTTTAACTCGCACGTCCACCTGCAGCTCCACGGGAGCCCAGGGCCCGGGCTCTCCTGTCGCCGCCCAGGGCTGCAGCTCGGCCTCGCCGTCCCGGGGCTGCTCGGCCCTCGTGGGGCTCGGCGGCGGCAGCTCGCGGCTGCACGAGCCCAGGCGGCGGAACGCGCCGTAGCCCAGGCTGAGCGGCTGCAAGCGCGGGGGCCCGGACAGAGCCGGAGGCTGCGGCTTCTCCTCCGTCAGCTCCAGGAGCTCCGCGTCCGCCGCCTCCCGCCCGGCCCGCTCCGCCCTCGGGTGGCCGGCGGGGACCTCGGGTGGCGGCGCCTCCGCGACGACATGCGATCGCGTCGTCTCCGGGCTCTCCAAGGGCTCCTCTGGGGACCCGGCCTCCGCCTGGCCTCCCCCAGAAGCTTCCTGGGTCCTCTCCATCCCGCGCGCCGCGTCCTCGCCACGCGCCGCACTAGGCGCGGTCCCCAGAAACTTGTGTCCCTGAACTTGTCAACCGCACCCGTCTCCGGAGGACCCCTCTGTGATTGGCTGTGGCTGCGGCTTGGCCACGCCTCTCGGAGCTCCAGCCCCGCCTTTCCGTGGCACAGGTTGCTGGGAGGGGCGGGCTGAGCGAGGCACTGGGTGGGGTGGCTCTAAAAGCAGCCCTGCGAGCTTGCAGATTCCCCCGTCCCTCATCGCGGGTCCCACCCTTTCTCCGAGTTGGCTCCCAACCCCGTGTTGTAGAGTGAGCGGGAAGCCATTGGCTAGATCCGCGTGGACGAGGACTTAAGTATCAGAACAAAGGAAAGGGATGCTCTTCTAGCAAGAGGCAGAGGGTCACTGGTTGCACACAATTTGGGAGAGGGTGAAAGGCTGAAGTCCTGATTCCAACTCTGGGACTTGACGACTGGTAGACTAACCCATGTGGAGAATGAGGAATGGGTCAGGTGCCTTGGCCACGCCTTTGATCCCATCACTCTAGAGGCTGGGTTTAAGGCCACCCTGGTTGGTCTACCTGTGAGCTCCAGATCAGCCAGGGTTTGTATAGTGAAACCATATATAAACAAAAAGAACTGAGGAACGAATGTTCATACCCCCACGAAGTGTTGCGCACTCGACCCAGCCTAGTGAGGGAGCATGGTCTGACTTTAGTTTTGTGAGGGTTTTCGTTTGTTTTGTGTTTCTGTAGTTGTTGGGTTTTTACTTTGTTTTTCTTTTGTTTTTTGAGACAATCTAGGTGGTCCTGGCTACCTTGGAGCTAGCTATGCAGATCGGGGTTAAAGGCATGCACCCCTGTGCTTGTCCCAGTACGGTGTTTATTATTGTAGGTTTTCTTTTGGCGTTGAAATGTGTGTATCAGGGTGTCTGTGGCTGTCTCTCGAAGCTCGGGTATCTTGAACCTGGAAGTACAAGTATTTGTGTCTGATGTTGGTGTTGGGATTTGAACTCGATTCCTCATGATAGGGCAGCAAGTTCTTTATGTTGAACTTTCTCTCCAGCTCCTAAATAGCCATTTAAAATAGATTCCTTCCATACCTCCATGGTTATCAGATAAAAGAGATTATTCAGTCAAATCTGACTTCAGATAAGCAAGATACGTTCGTTCTGGAAGTCAAACTCAAGCCTCCTGTTTGCATGGCAGGCACCTTGCCAACTGAGTTATTTTCTCTCTGACAGCACAAAAATGTGTCTTAAAAGGCATAGAACTGTGATTTCCAACATAGTCATCTGTAAAGCTCTTAGTTTAGAACTATGCAATTGAGTTACAGAAGAAAACCACACACACACAAAACTCATGTTTTTGGGTTTTTTTTGTTTGTTTATTTGCTTGTTTTTTGTTTGTTTTGCGTTTGTTTTTTGAGACAGGGTTTCTCTGTAGCTTTGGAGCCTGTCTTGGAACTTGCTCTGTAGACCAGGCTGGCTTTTTGAACTCACAGAGGTCCACCTGCTTCTGCCTCCTGAGTGTTGGGACTAAAGGCATGCGCCACCAATGTCTGGCACAATAGCCATGTTTTAAGCAAGTTTAAAGCAAGGGGTGGTGGCACGTGTAGAAACAGGTAGATCTCTGTGAGTTCAAGGCCAGCCTGGTCTAGAGAGCGAGTTCCAGGACAACCAAGACTACACACAGAGACCCTGTCTTGAAACACACACACACACACTCACACACACTCACACTCCCACTCCCACACACACTCCCACACACACTCACACACACATACACACACTCACATACACTCACACACACTCACACACATACACACACACTCACACTCTCACACACACCCTCACACACGCTCACACACATACACACACACTCACACACACACACTCACACACATACACACACTCACACACACACACACTCACATACACTCACGCACTCACACACACACTTACACACACTCACATACCCACACACTCACTCACACACAATCACACACACTCTCTCACACACTCACACACATACACACACTCACACATGCACTCTCTCTCACACGCTCACACACACACACACTCTCTCTCATACACACTCACACACTCACTCACATACTCTCACACACTCTCTCTCACACACACTCACACACTTACACACACTCACATACCCACACACTCACTCACACACACAATCACACACTCTCTCTCACACACACTCACACACATACACACACTCACACATACACTCTCTCACACACACTCACATACACACACTCACACTCGCTCACACTCTCTCTCTCTCTCTCTCTCTCTCTCACACACACACACACACACAGGAGAGGGTGACAACCAGCAAAGGCTTCTAAGGGACAGAAGGGACGGAGCAGCACCTGCTGGGTTTGGTGACAGGGGTGTCCCTTACAAGGAAGGTTTTGGCCAGGTAGAAAGGACGACAGTGGTTTGAAATGTACTTGGGACATGAACGGAGGTAGTGGGTGGGGATAAGGGGTCCTAGTGTCAAACACCCGTCCCCACACTGTCCTGTCCTCCTCACTCCACCTTTCCCGACACCAAAGGCAACTGCTCTCCTCCCCGCCTTTGGCTCTGCTGCCCCAAGTCTGCTGGCTTCAGCTTCTCCTCACCTTCCCGGTTTCAGTGTTTCCCACCCAACAAACCTACATACTGGAGTCTTCTCTCCCGGGCCCTCAGCTGGGAACTGAGCTGAGAGGGGGCCACAGAAACGCAGAGCCATACACATAGAAAATGCCAGAACTCCAAGGCAGACGTTGGGGTAATGGACTCAGAAGCCAAACAGACAAACACACCAGATTAACTATGAGGGACGCCAGCAAGCTGGGAGCAGGTAGGAGAAGCCAGGAGAAGGGCAAAAAGCAGGCGCTTTCCGCTTTCCTAAGGAACCAAATCTCCCCACACATTCTCTCGAACTTCTGGTCTCCAGAACTGAGGGGATTGAAGCCATTCAGTCTGTGGGATTGTGCCCTGGCCGCCTTCCTGGGAGGGCTCTGCCACCCGGGGCGGCCGGCAGTGTGTGTGGCAGGTGCCTGGAGCATCCGCCTTTCCGTGTGACTGTGTCCTTCGTAGGAATCTCGATGTGACAGAGGCAGAGCAGAATTGTCAGAACCACAGTGGGAGCAAACACTGCCCCGACCCCAGGCTTTAAGCTGGGCCTGGAGCACATGGCTTCAGTCCTGGGGCTTCAGGAGACTCCGTGTACCCTTACCCTGTGCACCCTGCCTGTCCTTTGCCGTCCTTTAGTGTTCTAGTTTCATTTCAATCGCTGTGGTGAAAGCAACTTAGAGGAGAAAGGTTTATTTCAGGGTTATAGCCAATCCCCGAAGGAAGTCTAGGCAGGGATTCAAAGCAGCTAGTTATGTCACCCACAGTCTAGAGCAGAGAGAAGTAAGTGTGTGTATGATCCTTGTTTGCTTGTGCTTGACTTGACTTATACAGTTCAGAACTCCCTGTTTAGGGAGTGATGCCACCCACAGTGGACTGAGTCTTCCCACATGAATTGCCAGTTAAGACAGTTCCCCCACTGACCTCCCCTGGGCTAACGTGATCTAGGTAATTCCTCAATTAAGACTCATCCCAGGTGATTAGATCTGGGTTGTGCCAGGTAAACATAGCATCACACATAGCACATCCTTTACTCAAATATAAGTGGCAGAGAGCCCACGTCCTACCAAGTCTTTGGGTTCTGTTGAAACAACAGCCCTGGTGCCAGCAGGCCATTTCTCCTTGGTGGGACACCTAAGCCAGGTGAGTTACCGACATCTCTGGACAAGTATCCACGATGGTCCTTCCTTCCTCCCTTCTCTCTATGAGGTAGACATGGAGGTTCAGCTTACAGATGTATGTGTGTGGGTGTGGGTTAGCATGGCATCAGAGGAAGAATGGGAAAGCCCAAAGTACGTAGGGAAGTGTACTGGGACACTGGCCAGTGTCAGGCAGAGAAGAGGATAAAGAGGGAGTTCATCTTCCTGAGTCAGGACTCACTCAGAGGCCAGATCTAGCACAGCCTCTGGTTCTGTATCCGCTGTTCAGAGGTCTGGGACGCTGGGAAGGAGAAGCACATTATCTCTTTTAAGGGAATAATTATCTCTCCCATCGCTTTAGCGTGGCCTACGGTGAATCACCCTTTCTGATGGTGGTTCGTTGGCTGGGTGATTGATAGGACCAATGGATTAACTCTTCTGCTTTGTGTACCTTGGAATGTTAGGTCTCCACCCAAAGCAGAGGTGGAGTCTGCTCTTTGGCCCTTCAGGGATAACATCCCCATTTAGGAGACAGGCTGACACTGGGGAATGGGTAGACGCATTTCCATCGTGGAAATGCAGAGGTTACGTTCCACGGTTGTTGGGGACTAGCGTCTGGACTAGCCTCAGGGAGGGCAGGGGCACTCATTTAGGAGGAGCTGAGAAACCGGAGAGCCATGGGCATGGGTGCTGCTGCCTCCCTGCCGGGCCCCATCTGCCTGCCCAGTCTCTGTCTCTTGTTCTCACCAGGAGTGATGTTTGGCACTGAAGTCTGCTGGGTGATTCTAACTGCTCTCCGCCTCCACCCAGCTTTATTGTCAGTGCGCTGCCCCTGCTGGTGAACATTTGAACTGCTACCGTGGCACTCGAACGGTGGTTTTAAAAGAGCATCTCTCTGAGTAGCTCAGAACAGATTCAGTCAAGTGAAAATTTTGGCTGTGATGGGTAGTTCCAAATGACCCCGTATCGGCTAGGCAAACAGTCTCTAAGGGTCATTCCCTTCTGCCTCACCAGGGCCCCGTGTTGTCAATCTCCTTAGCTTTTAAACAGCAGATGGATGAAAATATTGAATTTCAACGAGCGTTGCTTTAATTATGCATGAGTGTGAGGTTGGATGCCTTTTCATTTGTTAATGGTGTTTCTGAGAATTGTCCAGGCCAGCCTCATGACCTGGCTAAAGGGCCACCGAGATCACTGGTTGCTAGTTCCAGGTCACTAGCTGGTTCCAGGAAGTGGCCTGACCACAC